TGAACTTTCTTGGTGACAAAACTGTGTGAACCCATTGTGCACCTGCACTCTCTTTCCTGGCAGCGTAGGAGACTCCGGAAACAGCTCAGAGAACTTTAACACCTTCGCCACCAAAACCTCATGCTTAACAAACACGTACGCAAGAGGAATCGCTTACTCCTCCCCTTCACACGAACACTGCTTTAACTACCGTGCCAGCACCTTGACTGAACTTTCCGCCATTCTTTGGAGTTCATTCCCCAACAAGTACGACACCGAAAGACTCCACCTCATCTTCCCCCTCACGACCGGCAGTCCCCGGCACAGCCAGATCCCTGCAGGTTGCCAGGGACAGACTATTGAGCGTTAAGATCAGAGATACTTCTCTCAATTGCACATAGTGCTTTCAGGAGGAGCTCAAGAAAGACTCCACGAGTTCTCCTCACATCCCAGATCACTCAGCCAAGGTGCTTTAAGGTGGTCCCTTCGTGTCCTTTCTATAACTGCACCTAAACGCACACAGCTAAGTCCCAGTAGCTGTTATCAGCTTCAGATTTGGGGCAATTTAAAGTATAGTGGTATTAAACTTCATTTTGTTTTTCAAAGTCTTCCCAAAATGCAATGTAGCTGAAGTTGGGAAGGGCATAAAACACATCAAGGTAACACTGGCGTTCATGTTTTGTTGCCAGTGGAACTGACTTCAGCATACACTGCAAAGTAAATGTATCTCTGTGGGACACATTTTCTTGGTTTGTAAGCCACACAGTTTATCTAGCCTGTAGTCTTCAATTCCTATATTGCACACTAGTCACAGAAACTCTGACTGAATTGCAGGTTTCATGTCCAATTGGTGAGACTACTGCTTAGGAAAACATTTTACTTAAAGGTGAGCAAATTTAACGAAGGCATCACCAAGAGACAGAACCATACGACACTATTCATTTTCCCAGTGCAATAGCACTCCTGGTACGGAAATACAGAATGCTAAAGTAATTATCAGTATGGAAATGCAAAACGCTAAAGCAATTACCATTTTCAGCAGGGTCAACGTCTTAAGCTTCCCATCAACTTCAAAGGAACCAAGATTTCACCTGCTTTTATATTTACCGATGTATTTTCAAAACATAAGTAGGAAAAGATATTAGGAGAGAGGAGCCTGAAGGCAGATCAACTCCTTGCATTTTTCTCATCATCTTCCTACAGGCGCTCTCTCAACAGTCTGACCTTATTTCTTTTTTTTCCAGAATGATTTTAAAGAAATTTCTCACAAAAGTATTTGAATACCAGTGAGCAATTGATTTTTTTTTAATTTTTTTTGATTGACAGCTCTCCTCTCCCCCCCTGCCCCCCGCTCTTTTTGTTTATACTCCCTCCCTCTCCTTCCACAGCTTACAGGTAATGTCACCTGTCACCTGCTAATCTTCTCTGTTCTGCTTTCACTCTGTCTTCTCCCTTTCATCTTCTTATTCTCATCCTCTCTGACCTACTTTAGAAACAAACTCCTATTTGATCTCTTCATAACATCCAAAAGTGGTTCTCCTCCTCACCCTGCATTGTTTGTGGTGAACTTTCAAATTCTGCAGTTGAGTGTTAACAGACAGTTACCTTCTGGTGATGGCACTGAATTGCTGCATCAACTCAGCATTAATCTAGATTTGCACAGGTTTAAATGGTTTACTTAATCCCACAAGTCTTTGAACTAAACCTATATGCAACTGGCTAAAACACATTAATATTCTGGGTCTAAGAATATTTGAAAGTGTTTTGAAGTGCACTACCTCCTTTCACTTCTGCCCTTAAACCAAAATCACTCAGGCAGCAACTGATTTTGAAAACAGAGAGTCAGGCTGGCCCACAGCCGAACACACCATGTTCATCTTCAGGGTACCGCTGCTGATAAGAAGGGGAAGGGAAAAATCAGCAAAAACACAATTACAGATCGCACATAGAATTTAAACCAGAAGAGAACTAAAGTATGGACTGGATCCCTCTATAACATTGCTGAGTTGTTCTTTGAGCTGTATTGAATTTGGAAATTAAAAGTCAGAAGCTCAATTTTGTTAGTTCTGCAGAGATGCTCCTTCATTTATTATTTTGAACATTAGGCAATAATTTACTTACTATGAACTATTATACTCACTGTATAGATTTAAACAAATACAAAATCGGCAATATCGCAAGTTGGCCATCTCCCCTGTAACACATGCTGTTAACCCACAGGTCTTTGGGTTTATGAGATCAGTTTGCTGCTTCTAGGATCATTCACTAGGATCAACTGCAAAACAGCTAATCTTCCACCTATAAGATTATTTTTAATGAATGCATTAACCACTTTATGCAGAAATACATGTACCTGCATCATCACCTAACATGAACAGATGACAAGTTGATAAAGGATGCACTATAATATAAAAATACAACAATATTTTGATATTTATTACATTAGTGTTTAACTGATATGAATATAAAACTCCCTTTTAAAATAGAAACGCCTTTGAGAAATCACAAGAATAAAGAGCCTTTAAAAAAATTTTATGAAGCACTGTATTTTGTTCTACATAGAATATTATATAGAAACCTAGAAGGGAAAAATGTTATTAAAAAAAGCAGAATAAATATCTTTTATCAGATAAACTAATCAGTTTTTACACATTCAAAGAGTTTAGATTTTTAAGAAAAAAAAAATTACTTTTCTGAAAATATTAACTTTCACTTCGATTCTACATTTATAAATCAGACAAACACGGAAAGAGCTTTTTAATATTAGTATACTCATTGTCAAAGAAAAAAACATAGAAAAACCCCTGTGCAGTATTCACTAGGATTATCATGTTGGATCTCTAGCGTGCATGCTCTGTAATCATAGTTCAGACAAGGTAAAATTTAAAAAAAACAGATCTGTAAGTAGGTGATGAATAGTTTGCTGACTCATTCCAGATATAGATCCAAGTTCCAAGGAAGGGAACGCCCACGACTGAAGACAGCTGTGATGGAGGTGAGGGGAAGGGACCAAAAACCCTGTCAGAGGCACCTCTTCCATCAACCCGCTGCTAAATCCCTGCCAGCTCTCGATGAAAGACCACAGTGACCAGACCATATGGGTTAATAGACTTTGTTCTGAAATCTCCCAGCAGATGTCCTCCCAAGGCAGTCCTGGTGGGGAGGTCAGAGATGTCACCATTTAAAAAAGAGTGATGGGAAGGAAAATAGACCTAAAATAAGGGTGCTATAGAGAGAAACAAATTCCAAGTATTTGATTTGTTCTCAAATGCCTAACTCAAAAACATAGGCAGCATGGTAAAAAAATAAGGCTCTCATCTTAGAAACCTAAAAGAAAAAGTCACCTGAACAAGTAGGTTAACTAGCACACGTTTGAAGTGGCACATCTGCTTCCACTTTGATAGGTAATTCTTAAATCTCACTTACAAACAAAACAAAAGGTTCAAAAAATGATGGCGAAAAGCATGAGCACAAGGAAAACACCATAAAGACTCTAATCCTGTCCTTCTCCCTTCTGTTGCATGTTAAAATTGACTCATTTTATTGCGTGCACAGAGCTGAAGCGCAGCTTTCTGCACTACTCCCCAGTGGCAATGACATACAAATGTTGACACGAAGTTGGTATTCTTGGAAGCATAAAATCCCTTGGGTATTTCAGAGCAACTTAAAAAGAACACTTTCCCTAAAATAGCGATCCTCATCGTTACTGCTACAAGTGGAGAGTTTTGATACCACATCAAAAATACTTGATTTGTCCTTCTATGTACTGAGTAATGCATCCACAGCTAACGACCCACAGACACCTAGGGGATAATGAATCAGTCAACTACTGGTCTACAAACTACAAGCTGGGATTCTTTACCCAGGTCTATGAGATGTGAGAAGCCACATCAGGGAAAGATGAAATCAAGAAGATGAGCATCACTGACTCTTCTTCAAGAGCAGACACAGAAATAAGTGTCAATACTTGGGGCTTATTGGAGACCGGCCAACTGGGACACGTCAGTCACCACAGTTTGGCTGCTGGAAAGAACTCAAGACTGTCCCAGCTTCAGGAAAATGCTGGGAAGGTGGCTCCAATAACTGGGACAGACTTGTCTGCCAGAGGTTCTTTGGTGGACCCCTTACAGCACCTAGAGACAGAAAGCATTACCATGTTCTACACGCTGAATTAGGTCAAAGCTAGCATCATCAATTATAGAAATGGATTGCTTAAGAAATCTTAGAGGAGCAGGGTTTTTGTCAGCATCTTGTCTGAAGCTTCAGTAGCACGGGTGACTGCTTTTCTGCAGGCTGACGGTCCTCAATTTCAACAATGAAAGTAAAAACAAAAAGATTTTTAGCTTGGTGACAGTGAATGACCATGGTGAACAATACAGAACTGTTACATTTCTTAAATGGTGAACGCTTTCATGCCACAGAAGTATCAGATAAAGCACATTCCGCCATTAGTTTGTCCTGAGAAAAGAAGAATCCAGGTTCCACATCCTGAAAAGCATGGTATATGCAGTATTAAAGCTATTAAACTTTCTCAGCTTAACTAAGGTTCTCCTCAGCTGTCAGAGAAAACAATGATAAAAATCTGTTTAAACTTTTTACTGTGCTTCACTTAAAAAAAGCACAGAATTGTATGAGATCAAGATTTCCATTTAAAATATTAAAGGACAAATATAAATGAAGGATGATGGCTGGGGGCAGCTACAGTCCATTGTTAACCATTCACTTCACTAAGCTGTCTGTCTTGAATCTTAAGCCCCTCACCCTTTAGCCCTATGATAAGGAACACAGAATAACAGCCCAAGCAGAGGCTAACTCTACTGTTTCCAAATACAGACCTCTTATGGCAACAAATACACATCTCAAATAAAACCATAAAAGACGCTGAAGCATTCCTAATTGTAACCAGCTCTTCTCCTCTGTAGCTCCGGTTTCATGATGTAAACATATTCCAGTTGAATCTTTACAAACTATGTCAACAAGTCATGATTTCCCCCTCTTTCCCCAGGAAAACTGTGCAAGGATAACTGTACACATGTCCAAGAAATAGAGGATGTCATTTTATTGGAGGTCCACAGGTAATTGTATCACATTAGGGAGTGGAAGAATCTCGTGGTATGGCACAACACAATACCTCACTCTAAACACTTAAACAGAAGGTTAAATGATATGCAACATGATCAAATCAGTAATTCTCCATCTTCTAGGCACCACTGATTAATTTAAAATAAACTTTAATAAATTGAAAAAATAATACAGTCCATTAATTTGTTTGTTGTACTGTCTTTAAATGAAACAGCACTTTGAAATTCACAAATAAAAAAGCAGCACTTTCTCTTAATACCAACACCACTGTAACACATACTGTAGCGTGGCATGCAAATCCATATCTGCAGTCTTTTTTTTTGTATTAACAAATGGAATGGCAATTTTCTATCTCAAATATTAGTAGCATAACATGTAAGTGCAGATCATTCTGGCCACAAGTGTGGTAAGCCTTAACAAGTGTGTATTACAAGAGCATAGAACACAGAGCATGACACTTACATCCAAGAATCTCTCTTTTGTACTGTACATGGCGTTTGTTAGAGGCCGACTTCCAACTTGCTGTACCCAAGCTTCAGGAAACAAGATTACTGACCGTTTCTGGTTTTGTTTAAAAATAAAATGCAGTCACCATCAAAGCACAACCATTAATAACCTGGTCAAAAAAATGTCATAGCTCCATTGAAAAATTAACTTGTCTTTTTAGTAGACTCCATTAAGTGATAAAGTTTCCATTATAGGCATGTTACAAAGTCTTACAGTGGTACTGCAGTGTCATTCCTGTTAAGCAGAGATTTGTATAGACACCAAGAAATGGTGCAACATTCAAAAAAAGCTGTTCAAACCGAGCTAAGCTTCACGAGACCACGTACTGAGTCTTCATGCAATGAATCCTGGCTGGCTAGGCTCAGGACGTGCATGGTATGGCTGTGTGTAATAGGACTTCCACTTGGCAGCATCCCAGGGGGTGATGGAGCTTCTTCAGGAGTGAGAAACTGATGACCTTCGTGTTCCTCTTTTAATGGTATCATGTCTGTCAAACCTGTATCTGATGTGAGATTTGGCATAGAAGATGGTGGTGTTGGTTGCCCTAGAGTTAGAGTTGCACAAGGCCCACTGATAGAAGTCTTTCCTGGTAAAGGTAGCTCTTCGCTAGTTATGCTTGGCTCACTCTGGAGTAGGGGGGTGGCAGCAGCCTGTAAAACGAATTTAGTGCTCTGAATGCACTGATCTTGGTCGCACTGTAGAATGGAAGGGTGTCAAAATCATATAAGGCAAACAAAACAGAGGAAAAAAAGGGAGAATATGGACAAAAAGGTATGAAGAAGAATGGGATGTGAAGAGAAAAAAAAAAAAGCAAGCCATTAGTATCATTCCATGGTTAGCCACCCAAAAATCCCATTGCATGCTGCCCAGGAGGAAAAAAAAAAAAAAGCATGCATAACTGAGCCAGGGCTTTGGAATACTATTAAAGGAAATAATAATAAACATTCACAATATTCACTTAAGGGTTTTGGTAACCTTAAAATAGTATTTTGTGAGTACTGCAATTCAAATGCTTTGCTTATTCTTTTTCGAAGCCACTTGGAAAGCCCAGCTGCACCGTCTGTCTGTAAGTAACTGCATCGGGCACCTCAAAACCTCCCCGATTCCAGGTGAGGTGAATCAGTTCCACACTACTCTCATTTTACCCTAGATCAGCTCAGAGAGGCCAAAATGCATAATCCAAGCATCTTTCCAAGTTGGAAAACGCTAAGCAAGTTTTAATTAGTCTTCACATGTAGGAATTAAGGTGCCACAAAAGTTTTCCAGAACAGGAATTCCTTTGATGCAGGTGGTTTTGTACAGATACAGCTGACAATACAGCCTTTACTGTAAAAATTTCTCCCCTCCCCATTTAATACATTATATATACACTCCAGAGAATATACTACACTATACTCAGTACTCTAGAAGGTGTGTAGAAATTAGGCAGCACTGTAGATGCATTAATCTGATATCAACTTCCATGATTTTTAGGCTATTTCTTGATTTTTAATCTTGACAATGTGAAGAATCAAGGTACAAAACACAAGTTTTCTGGCAAGCACTTTCACAATAACAAGCCAAATTCAGCATTATATAAATCCAGTTAAGCTCAGTGAGTACTACCGGGAACACTTTTGGCTCTACATCATTCCTAAGAACTGTGCAGTCAAAATTATCATTCACTCTTTGAGATGACAAGACACAAGGTGTTTCAATAACATCCAGCTAGCTAAGCACGTCATACACCTGCTGCCAAATTAAGTTTAACACAAACTGGCATGATTTTTGAGAGCTTCCAAGGACAATATATATTTAATTCATAGCCTGATCAGTTATACATCTGCAGATTTTCAAAATCCTATTAGATTCATATGCCATACTACTGTTCTGCTGTGCAAGAGAAACACTACAATCAATGAATACAACTATAAATCCAATGCAGCAAAGAAAACTTGGAAGCAAGCAAGCAGAATAAAAAAATATATCCAGAGGTAAAACACGCTTATGCAGTGTTGCTATTTCAAGGATTCTGTTAAAGCAATATGTTCTGCTTTATGACTGACTTCTTTGATCTATATCAAATTACTGAAAGACATTACAAATCCAACATCTGTTCAAGATATTCCCAATCATAACCATTGCTTCTAACATTACAGCAATTCCCTAAAATGCCCATTTGAGTTCAATAAGCTACTGTGATAGACTCTATGCAAACTCATGGAAAGACTTTTCCCTCCTTTACTGTATGATGAAAACCATCACTATGAATGCTTCTTCTGACATTTTCAGGTCCTCCAATTCCACCACTGAATAGCTTAATGATGGCTGCACACATATTACCTTCAGCAAGTGTGCAAGCAGACTACTTGGTCACAGTGACAGGTAGTATTTTAAACATGTCTAAGTGGCTTAGGACTCCCAGACCAACTACTTTTTGACAGGCAGAAGTTCAATCTTGGTTATGTATTTTCCGACACTTATGCTTTCGGAGATAAATGCACTGACTTCCCATTTCATAAATTGAGTTCATATACACTGTAAGTAATTTTTTCTCCCACAAAACAATGAACAGCCCCAGTCAAACAACTGAAGTGGTCCCATCTAATTTCAGAGGGATTACTCACAGGCTTAAAGCCAAAACCTTGCATAAGTACCTTACTGAGAAGAAAACTGTCAGCATCTTTTCAAGTCAAGCTTTCAATTAGTAATTCAGTGTGAATAACTCATTCTTGATTAATATACTGTTATTCACACCTGCTTATTTCAATTAAACTATAGCCGTTCAACCAACCTTACGATGCAGACCTTAAAAATCCATTAACTGAATTTTCAAACTTCAAAAAGACCAACAAAATCCATCTTCTCTGAAAAGCAGTAGCCAAAGAGCATGTTAAATAACAAAGGACTGCCTATAACCACTGGGGTACATTGAAAACAAATAACGTTAGCAGCTGACTTATTGCTTTAGTGAAGCTTCAGCACCAATCTTCAAAAGGAAATCATTAATGTGTTCCAGGCAATAGAAGTACACAGTTTTAAATTAGCTGAAGGCAATTTACTTAAACTCATTGTATAGTCTGAATTAATTTTCTTCTTACCAAACTCTAGTGCTTTTCAACTGAATCAATATCGAAAAGACAAAGTAGCCTCATAAAGCTCCATTAAACAGTGTTACAAAACTTTTTCAGGTGCTCCATCTCTCTTTTTCAATGCACTTGTCACTTCCCTAAAACCTCTCCTCTGACTCAGATACATTTCAGGTTTTCTTTTTTTTTTTTGTTCTATTTAAGTGATCAGCGTGAACTATCTTAGGAAAATACAGCTTTCAAAAGTGAACTACAGTGGGGTTTATCCTAGAAAAGGTAGATGCGTTCAAAGAAGCTCTCAAAAACATCTGATAAAAACAACACATACTATACAGGTAGTCTATTCTTGAGTCTGAACAGCCAACACAAAACTAAACGAGAAAACCACATTTGTTTATAGGGCTGGCATGGTGGTTTTTCCTTGATTCCATAGAACTAAATGAAATTTAGGGCTAAAGGTCTTAACGGCTATTAATCACGTGAATTATTCAACACCAGCATTTCAAATGAAATTAAAACAGCCTATGATTGTAACAAAAAGGAAGCCAAGCACTGAAACCTAAATAGCTGAAAATCTACTGTAGGAATTACTCCACCAGTACCTTCTTACTTCAGATCTATTGATTTTATTTTCCACTCACAACTTCCACTGTTTCAGAGGAACAGCAGATTTGGAAGGTAAGACAAGTTTAGTAAGTTCTACAAGTACAGAAGTTCAGTTATATACGTGCGTAGAAATTTTTAGCCATCTCTGTATTTATTTACAGATCAAAATGCACAAACTAAAGCAAATTAGACAAAACCTAAAATTCTGTGTTTATTTCACAAATAATAAATACAAACAACTAAGGAAACAATATTTTTCTTTTTTTTTCCTGAAGAAAACTGGATTATTTTTTTTTCTAAGCTACAGAAAACAAACATGTTAACATAATTGTTGTACATGGCAATGTATTTTTCACATTTCTAATGCCAAAGCCAGAGACTATTTACTTTGAATTTTAAATTAACTTTGTTAAAAAATTTTGAAACACTAGTAATTGTTACAGTTCTCAAAAGACGGAGAAAAGCAAGCTGAATTTTCTCAGCATCTCTGGATAAAATACAACCAACAAAAAGTTCAGAGGAGACCGACAGCACTGAATGACAGTGCTAGGAAGTAACAGAAAGGATGTGGAAATACCATACTAGATGGCTACAACAGATGGGTAAAGAGTGGAGGGATGAAGCTGTATAACTGTTTCCAAAAGCTGTAGGATTTCACACTCAAAATGATGGTATTGCAGATACCGAGCCAATGGCTCTCCACTAGCAAGTAGCATGGTGGACCAGGAGTAGATCTATGAAGAGAAACGCTTCTGAAGCCAAAGGGGAAATTAACCTGTTGAAGGGATTTTACTTCAGACTAGCTACTGTTTGTTCTTACGGACTGAATGTCTGTGAATGGTTAGAGCATGTTGGGTGCATGCCGGGAGCACATCTTCTGAAAGAAATCTAGTTCATGTGCTGTGATACTGCTCTGCGAAGTGAACAAAAATGCAGTAAATATGCACTAAATATGCTTCTAAAACATACCTCAATCCAAAGAAAATGCTGAAGTGGAATTACTGCATGTGCCCTTAACCCATTTTAACTGCAAAGTAAAATACTTTAATGAAAAACCTGTGTCAACCTTGACTGTAGCCATGTTGATTTGATAAAAGCCCTAAGTTCCATTTCGGGCAATGATAAATTATATTTGTGAAGTACCAGAGTAAATATACGAGGAAACACACTCGTAAAACTCCCAGCGAACCGAGGCTCCTATCCTGGCTGATCCTTTTACTGTCATGATAGAAATACTTACTTACTCCTAATAATGAGAATATGAAAAGCAAAGGAAAAAGTACGCTAGGATGGTCAGAGTTCGCGTTCCCTGGAGCAGCTGGATTCCTGTTTCCAGATCAGTGCTAGAAATACTGATGTGAACATTTAAGAGAGGACTTTCCTGCATGTCTCGCTGGTAACAAATGTTATGCATGCACTATTGTGGCTCCTACAATTTTCAGTGGTACGTCTAAGTAGGAAAACAAACACTAACTAAAGAATTTGCATCCAGGAAAACAAAGGGACAACTGGAAAGAAGGGAATTTGGCACACAAGAAACTACCTAAGCACTGAAGAAGAGGTACCTAGGAATGCAGGAGGACAAGTGAATTTCTTAAAAAGAAAGTCTCTCTGTCCTGACAGAGAGGCAGAGAGAAGCAAAATCTATCACTTTATAAGGCATTAGAGAATTCCTGGAGACATCATAGTAAATAACCAAACTCATTCCTCTAAAAAAAGTACATGGAGTCAGATTCTGTATTTCTTCATAATGGATCACTAAAGAATAAAATACCCTGATAAAAACTCAAGAATCAACTCAGGCTTTTAAGAGAAAGCTAAGTACTACAGAAGTGCAGATCCACGTAATGGTAGCGGATAGGTTTATGGTGAAATAAGAACTTTTTTCAGAAAACAAAGGAAATAAACCTTAAAATGAAAGAGAAAGAAAGAACAAAATTCAGAGAAAATTACTATTTCATAATGGATGAGATACTGCATTTTATGTGAACAAAAATTTCTTAAGAATGAGAAGAAAGATACTTGGTCAATCAAACTAATGAAGAGCTTGTAAAAATAATCAGCAATAAAATGCAACAGGGAAATATCTTGGAAATATCAGATCTACAGATTATGAGCTCCAAGTGACCATGCTTGTCATGTGGATAAGAATATTAAGAAGCTGGTTAAAGAATTTAACAGATTAATTTCAAATTATATTGGAAAAGAGATTAAAAACACTGGGAGTGTACCAGGAAAAAAATAATTACATGTGCTTCCAGCCTTCAAAAAAGTAAATACAACTTCAGGTCTTAGTAAAACAGGGGAGAGAACAGAGGAAAAAGCTCTTTTATAAAGATCTAGAAAAAAATAAAATCATAGTATGGGTCTATGAAGCACTGATTATAGCAACAACCCTGACTTTCTGAGATGGTGACAAACTGAGTCACTAGCACAAGTAGGGTAGCTCCTATATGAAATATTCAAAGCCTCAAAGGCAAAATTACCACAAAAGCTGTTAAATACAAAAATAGTGCCCCGCAAATGGTATCCTGAATAAGAGATAATGTATTGCACTGAAAACAAGTGTCTGGCAAGTTTAAACTTAGCCTGATATTTATTTTGAGCTTAAATGCAAAAGTGATGCTACGCTAAAAGACCTATTAAAATAAATGAAAGCAGAATATAATACTAAGCAACCCAGAGAGATTTAAAGAATGATGAGAGGCTAGCTGAGGGAGGCAGAAGAATTCTATTTAGAAACACACAAGTCACTGAGTAAAAGATTTGAGGGAAGGGAAGAGAAGGAAAGGAAACAGGGAAAGGAAGGAGTAAGAGAAGACAAGTGTGAGAGAAAATGCTCATTAAAAACTTCCTTTAATATCAACGAGCAGGAGAGACATTTTAGTCTGTATGGATTAAGTAGTATAACATCTAGACAGTAAGATTCAAGGTAGGGATAAGAAGATGCAATGCATTCTGGAATAAAATCCAGGGAGACACACCATAAAGGTGTACTGGAACACAGTTCAGATTTCTAGTAAGTTACTTCCTGTACTCAGAAGCATTAAACTTGCTAAAATAGTGTAATTATCTCTGATGATGTATAAATGCCTAAACCTCTGCCATTTAAAAAGTTTATGGACTAAGACTATGATCTACACATGCTCTTAAGTTGAGGAATTTTACTTTGCCTGTCCTTATCTGAAACCATAATAATCGAAGCTGCAGTACCACGTACATCCCCTTCAAACTTGCCAGTTCTTTGTGGTCCACCTGCCTCACCTCCAAGAAAGTGTTGTTCATCTTATGTCTCTGCCTTTTTCCCCAAGAGGTGTGCAACCTTCCAGAAGGGAAAACTGAATCATATTCCACCTTTTGCCTAATCTTTGTCAGTGGGGACAGGAGGTAAAAAGGAAACCTTTCCTTCCACAGAGACTTTCCCTCTACTATTTTCCTTCCACTGGAGTCTTGGGCTTGAGCTCGTCTATCATTTAAACCATCAACCACCAAAGGAAATTTTGATGTTTGAACTTATAGCAAGAGGGATCCTACAGAATCTTGCAGAGATTCCTCCTCCTAAAAAACCACCAAAACCAAAAAACCCACCACCAACGAAAAATCAAACAATGGGATGCCGCATGCCTTGTTTTACTTCTGCCATAACGTGTACTCCCCTGCCTTTCACTCAAGAATCTTCTGTGGTCCTTTTTAGGACAAGAGAACAAGCGAATGGCTGGTGTTCCCAGCGCTCCTGTTCCCAAACTTCTTCAGAAGAATGTAAGATTGTGTACTGAGAAGAAAGCTGAGAGAAACAGATACTGTAAAGCCTGGAAAAGTACCAGGGGTCACTTTGTGGGAAAAAGATTTAAATAGAATGATGAAGTTTTACTTGATTATTTCTGTCTAAATTTAAATCAGAACAGGAAATCTGGTAACTGAACAGAATGGCTGAAAACAACTAAGCTAGCAGTAAGGTGAATTAGGTTTGGTAGAAAAAAAAAGGAAGTCTGATATGTGGATGAGATTGAGATCTTCACTGTGAAATAGGGAAATCATTTTTGTTGTTTGCTGCTTTATGAGATAAGGAGATATGGGGACGTGAGAGTAGGCAGAGAGTCTGCTGAGAAGAGCAAAAACATTAACCTTAGAAAAACAGAAATGTGTAACAAGAACAAAATCAGAGGCAAAGTTACGTCCCACTGCATTGTTGCCAGCAGGAAATGAATTTATAATTTCTAATGCTTCAAACAACTCAGGAAAGAATGCAAGATTTTAAATAGGGAAGAGAAAATAGTGCTAGAGAGACCGGGAAACTAAGCAGGTCTTTAACAGTTTGCAACAAAACTCAAGGGAGAAATTTTAATGCTGATAGCCAGCTGCCACTAGAAGCCAACTGATCTTGGATACAGACCAGGAATAATACCCTGAGAAAAATGGCATCACAGTCTTAAAGATATTCCTCCATACCAAACTCGATGTATTACATTTTTCAAGCTTTTTCTGAGAGATCATTTTCAGGAATGAAAGCTGCACACTTCCAAGTGACTCTGATAACTGTTAAAAAAACATAAGCCTTTCCCAGCTTGAGTAGTGTGATGTTCTAGGACATAAGAAGTTGAAATCCTTGAAGCATTTGTGTAATTACAGGTATTACACTCTAAAATTATAACAGCCACCTGTTTGACTTAAAGTAGTATCATAACAGATTTCTCCATTTCCAAAGACAAGGTTAGTCAATTTTCTATCAAACTGGCACAAGATTTTCTCATTAATATCTAGTAATAATGACAGCATCTTCTTACAATACAAGTATAATTCTTATAACATTAAGAAAATTTAATGCCAGGGATTTATTGTGGGTTAATGATCTTCACAAATAAGAAGCCTTGACAGAGTCAGAAAGTTTGGGTAATCCCTCAAAGACCTCAGGCTATTTCTATGATTTGCTTTCTCCTTTTTTTTTTTTAAAAAAAAAACCCACCCTTTTCTCTTTTCAGAGTCACTTTTTTTTGAGTAAAATTTGCATGGAGCATTACCTTGTTCTGCACAACTGCACCTCACAGAAGATTCAGAGGTAATACTGTGTCTCTAATACATTTTCTCATTAAGGAGACTAACAAATCTTCTATTTAATCCTCAAAATAATAAGTAAAAACAGTTTAGGAACTACAGCAAAATTTTTGTACCAGATTATCAGTGACACTAAAACTAATCTGTCTGGGAAGAGTGAGTCTTCTCTGTTTTTGTTCGAAAGAAATGCTGAATTATGTCAGACGGCCTTGTGGCCACCTCTGTTTTGGCAGAGGGAGGGTGTCCATAACTCATGGCTTCTTTGACAAAGTCTTAGAACCCACATAATATAAAGATATGTGGATAACAATTCAGAAATATGCACATATGTAAGATGCTTGCCTTTGGAAAAAGATCTCTTTCCAGTTATTCTCTTCTTCTTGGCACTGGAAATCCTATCTTCCATTATGATAGCCAATGCTACCAGCAAAAAACAAAGTAAAAACTATTGGCACAGTTTCAAAGATGTTTAAAAGCTTTTGTTGTAACAATCCAGTTGCCATTTTTTGTTCATTGGAAGTTCAGTGTTCTCCTGCTCTTTCTTCAACATACTTCTCCCCTAGAAACTCCTCTTTGTTTGTCTTTGCTTTTTAAAACACATTAGTCTATGCAAAACCGCAGTGTACAAGCAAAGAAGGAAACAGAGTATGAAGAAAGTGCCATACAAAAATAACAATTAGCTGGAAAATGATGAACCAGAGCAAGTCCACGATACTTGAATATTCCAGTTCAAAACACAGCAGGTGTCAACAGTGCAAGTCAAAACGCCAGTATATTCAGTAAATCAACAGTGTAGAAAAGCCTCTCTTTTTTTAGAATCCATGAGCAATAACTATTACACTGTGTGAAACATACATTAAAAAGAGCCTTGTTTTTTTTTCTTTACTGTTAATAAACAAGTCATTCCACCCAGAGTGTCAGCTGTATCCAGTTAGTTATTACTTGATTAGTTCACATGAAAGTGGAGAAGGAAAACATTCACAGGAATCTTGATGAACAACACTATGGGATGATTCCTACCATGTTGCTCTGAGATTGTGTGGCCCCGTACATAGTAATGCCATTTGATGGTCCTGCTAATTGTGGTGTATCTGGCTGTATAAATCCTCTTCTGTCAATTAAGCTATGGAATAATCAAAATAAAGAAAAAGTGTTAGAGATATTTCTGATCAATAACTACCTCCTCTTGATAAAAAGAAAGAAAAATTTTCTATCATACAACAGATCTTGGTACTTCGCCAAAGCCTTCAAACTTCCCCTTTTATTCAACTGAAGTACAAGACTTCTTTTCTACTCATCAGCAAGGTAATTGTTTCCCTGTAATACTACCTGCCACATAGTCATATGTACTGCTACTTTTCTGAATTTTTATCTTAGACAAAAGATTTAGAAGCTGACCAGCAGATACCACGAAACCCAAGAATTTTAAGCCACAGGTGTGAAAACAAATTACAAAACTCACTAATGACTTTGATTATGTATCTGTTTTGAAGGTTCTTTTGTTACCAGTCTCCAAACCCCTAAATTAAAGCTACTTTATCACAAAATTCAGAAAGAAAGAGCAACTTTTGTTCAGACAACTTGCCAGGTTTTTCATGACAGCTACTTAACACTGCTTATAGTGCTCCATCATTCTTACCAAAGTGATGCTCTCATAAAATTTCTTATTTCCATCTAAGAAAATGTTTTGTGGAGAAATTAATAAAAAGAAGTAAAAATCTACATAAGACTATAAAAAAATATAGAATGGAATAATCTGACCTAGCTAAAGACTTTGTTAAAATTCCACATACAATTTTACTCTCAACTTGAGAACTATAAACCTCACTTAGGTTCTGCTAGTTAATACTCACAAAAAGCACAATGCACAGCCCCAAGTACTACATTCTACATGTGTATTAGCTCATATCACTTCCATTAAAAAAAAACAAAACAAAAAAACTTTTGAACTGCTTATGCTTCAATTCATCTGAAGTTTTTCGGTTTTGTTTTTGTTTTTCCTGTGACCTGAACAATGCTACTTTGCATCTGGAAAACTACAAATTTTGCCACAGGATGTCAAATTTTAACTGGAGGGTTTATCATTCCAGTTACTAAG